ATCCTTCTATGAGATGTAAGGGATCCATTTCCATGGGAAAGAGTGAAAATGAAATTGTAATTATTTCCATTGTCTCTGGTTATATAATCTTCTTTTGTTTGGATTGGATAGTGTTCATTTATTTCTAATTTGTCTTTGAATAGGCCTACACTTTTCACCATATATTTTTCCTTTATTTTTCCTTGTGGGGCAAGAAAGTCTTGAATCTCAGCATCAGTGGAAATTGAGCTTTCCTTATTCCCAGTATTTGACTGGTTTCTCTCATGCCTTTTTAGTTCCATTTGAATTGCAGGCTTCTCCGTTCCACCTCCATGCCAGATCATTTGGAATGGTTCACTGGAATCTTTGTTCTCCTGTCCAAGATTACCTTCAACAGAAAAAAGAAATCAAAATGATACAAGGTTAGGGAAAAACATCAAACTGTGGGAAGTCAGATGAATTTCTTTCTGAAATTTTGCCCAATTCCAAAACATTACACATTTGCATGCTTACGATGGCCTAGTATAGAAATGATAATTGTATATTCGTGAGCCATAAAAGCTTTCAAAACATCTAAAGGACCTTTTTGTTTATTAGGGGAAAACCTAAGATTTATTGGAGGGGGATGAATTACAGGAGGAATCTGTGAGAACTAAATCGATTTTGAAACTCATCCTTTTCATCCTACCCTAACTACCTCCCATTTCCTGTTCATTTTTTCTTGCCCAAATCTCATGGTTGAAAAAAAAATCCTAGAGTTCTTCCATTAACCCTAAACAACATGTTTGCAATGGAAACACAGCAACATTTCCCCCTCCATCTCAAGGCTCAGGATAGAAATGAAAAGGAAGAAAAGTCACTAAACCGAGAGCCTGAATAAATGACAGTCCTTCCGAGGACAGACAGGGAAGCATGTCAGTCAAAAAAGCTGAAATCAGTGTGATGGAGTTTAGCTCCTCCTCAAGCCAAGGAGCTACATTCTCACTGGTCTGTTCAAAAAGAAATGGAAAAATTCACCAGCTGGGAAATGGCAC